GTGTAATACCTCATTCCTCATTACTCCCATTTCAAATATCGAAAGGCCTTAATGCTAATTAAATCTCAGCTATGTGATCAACATTTAGCTTGCCCTTCATGCTCATTCTCTCCTTTCTCTGATTCTCTGTCCCATTTTCTTGAAAGTTTCTGGCAGGTTAGTCTACAAAGAAAAAGATAGTTTCATCTTATCTCTTCTGTGATCAAATACAATGGTTGTAATGTAATGACACAGTAATGCAGTGAAAATGTAATGGTTTTGTGTTGTCTAACGTTCACATACTAACCTACCTTTCCTTTCCATCTCTAATGTCTCAACTGAGTAATTCCTACAAATAAAGGCTTGATTTGGGTCTTGCATTTATGTTACTCGTAATCAGTGAAGTTATATATACATAGAGGCCAATGCCTGTGATCTTAAAAGAAAAGGATATGTTCTTTCTATGTCTATCACTCTCTTTCTGACTCATTTCGCTTAACATGATGGGCACTGGTGGAGGGATGGGTATTTGATCTTTGTATAATTGAAACCCAAGCACAAAAATTTGTGGGTCTACAACTGTACCTCATAGTGTCTCACTAATAAAAAATTTTTAAAAAATTTTAAAAAAGGGATGTGAATAAGATAAGGCAGAGGATCCAGGTAAGAGAGAAGTTCCGCATGCATTAGCATCAAATAAAGTTTGGTGAGCATTGCAACAATTTTGACAAGAATAAATTTTACAGTTAAATCTGGAAATAAATTCCTTTTTTGTTTGTTTTTGGAGCACTCTTGGCAGTCTTCATGGCTTACTCCTGCCTCTACATTCAGAGATCACTCCTAGCGGGGCTCAGGGATGCCGGGGATTGAACCCAGGTTTGTTATGTGCAAAGCAAGTGTCCCACCTACTGTACTGTCTCTTGAGCACCAAAATCTAGAAACAAGTTCTCAGCCAAGAATGGAATGGTCATACTGGAGCAACAGCAAGAAGTCCAGTCTGGAAACTAGTTCATGTAGAAACAGTGATTTTTTTTTTCAAACAACTAAAGTGGGATATAGCAAGACTGAAAATCCTCGAATGATCCTGGAAATTCTAAAAAAATTCTTAATACAGCAGTAATGTGATTAGGGATTTGCTTGGAAAATGTGAAAAATTGGCAGCATGTAAAATGGCTCGGTAAAAGTAAAAAAAAAAACAAAGCAAATGATTTAAATAAAGGAGAAAACACAAGAAGAAAATTTTAATTATGACTATTATTCCGGTGAAAATTTATAAGAGTAAGCACTGAGTTCTTGGAATTGGATGAATGGATATTTAAAACACAGACTTGGCAGACCAATACAGCAACGCTGTGGAAATAGTAGCATTCCAAAGTGAAAAGATGAAGGTGCTTAAGTCCCAGATTTGACCTACCTTTGTCTGAGAGATTTCTCTGGGACAGTGATGGGAGATAGAGAGAACAATAAAAACAGCAACCAGGTAAAAGGCTTGGGTTCTGAGCTCAGAGAGCTAGGAGGGGGTTAGGCACTTGCCTTGCACAAACGGTGACCCCTATCCAATCCCTAGCACCACTAAGGATACCTTCAATCAAGAATTATTCCTGACCACAGAGGCAGGAATAATCCCTGAACACAGCTGGATGGGCCCATCCCTAAAGAGGAGAAAAAGAACATAGGTTTCAAGCTCATGCGCTTGGACCTCCAGTGTTTGTGTAATGGATGAAAAGGGAGGAGGTTACCAGATTATATTGAGTGGGGAGAGCCATAGCAGGAGTAAGAGCAAGGAGTATTCTTTTTTTTTTTTGATTTTTGGGTCACACCTGGCGATGCACAGGGGTTACTCCTGGCTCTGCACTCAGGAGTTACTCCTGGCGGTGCTCAGGGGACCATATGGGATGCTGGGAATTGAACCTGGGTTGGCCGCGTGCAAGGCAAATGCCCTACCCGCTGTGCTATCTCTCCAGCCCCACAAGGAGTATTCTTAACCATAGAAAGAAACCTAGACTTCACCCTTAGCACTCAGACTATTAAATACAAGAGTCTGTGATCTGATGTAGCTAGATTTTTCCTCCCACCACATGGAGAAAGCAGAAGAATAAGTCTGGTTCCCATAAAACCAAAGTTTCAGTACTTGGGTATGTCATATCTCTGGAAGCATTCTCAAGATTCATTAGTTACATCGTTAAGAGTCCAGACAGTGCTTCCATCCCATCCTCCACTATTTTCCAGAGAAAGTTTTGTGTGATTAAACCAGAGTGGATAGGAAACTACAAAGGAAATGTATAAACAAATCCATCTTAGCTGAACAAGGTGAGTCCCTTCACACCCCCAAACTAAATTATCTTTGAATAGGGCTCTCCAAAACAGGTGGGGTCAGTTTAAATGAACCTGAGGTTCTCCATAAACTAAGTTTCTGCCTAACTCAACTGTTGTTGGAGGAGCTATCCAAGGTGCTGGAAGTCTTACCCTGAAGTTTTCTTAAAGCAGAACACAGCCCCCAATTATTCTTAATGAACCCAGGACCCACCCATAGACACATACCACCTTGATACTATTTCCTGTTGGTCTTGAATAACTATCAAACCAACATTTTCCAGATTCAGATCTGCATGATCTAAATCTGATCATCTTCTCTCTTTGCTTTATAGACACACTGTGAGGTGGCAACAGAAATAGTGGTGTGGAGTCCGTCTTGGGCTTCCATTGTGAACAAGGATCACTTGGAATAACCAGACAGCAGTCATCTCATAGCAATTTTTTCCTTTAATAATTCTCAAAGATGGGATATGTGCACTGAAAGTAGACTAAGGACCAAACACAATGGCCTCTTAGTATCTGTAATGCAAATCATAATGCCCAAAACTAGAGAGAGAGTAAAAAGGATTGTACCTGCTACAGAGGCAGGGAGTGGAGTGGGGTGGGGTGGGGTGGCGAGTGGGATACTGGGAACAGTGGTGTTGGAAAATGTGCACTGGTGGAGGGAGAGGTGCTTGAGCATTGTTCAATTGAAATGTAATCATGCAAGTTTATAACTGTATCTCATGATGATCCAAAAATCTTTTAAAAATTATTGTTCAAAGGCCAGGACTGAACTGAACCTATAACCCAATCTGTTTATGAAACTAACTCCATGGGTCAGAGAGATGGCTCAAAGGACTGAGTACATGCCAGGGATGAAAGGGTCCCAGATTCAAGGCCCAGTAACACGTGATCAACTAAGCACTACCAGAAGTGACCCCTGAGCACTGAGCTGAGAGTAGCCCCTGAGCATCACTTTGGTGTGCCCCCCCCCAACCAAAAAAACACAAGAGTCTCTGCCCATCAGACATCTTAACACAGACAGCTTCTCTACCTGGAATGATTAATAGATTCATAGAATATCCAACTTTACCCCCTCTTTTAAATAGTGTCCTTTGCTTTGAAAAAAAAAGTATGTTCTACAGGAGGCTATTACTCAGTTTCTTGAGTAATCAAGTTTGTACACTAAGTAGTGGATGAAAATTGGTGTGCTTTCAAGAGAAAACACTTTACCTCTTTAACTAAAACACTTAGAGCACTAGAGTAATCTGATGGCTACTCATTTCTAACTCTCCTCTTAAATAACAAGTAAAACAAGGAAAGCTACTGCATCTTCAGAACTTTCTATCAACATGTTAGATCCTTCTTCATTCTTAAATAGCCTAGAGGGGCAACAGGATTGACAAAGAACCAAAAAAGTTTACTAAAACATTTTAGTGACAAGTTATCAAGACTAGGATAAAAAAGTGGAATTAGCAATGATTACATTTGCTGGGCTGGAGCGATAGCACAGCAGGTAGGGCATTTGCCTTGCATGAGGCCGCCCCAGGTTCGATTCCTTCAACCCTCTTGGGGAGCCTGGCAAGCTACCAAGAGTATCCTGCCGGCATGGCAAAGCCTGGCCAACTCCCCGTGGCGTATTTGATATGCCAAAAACAGTAACAAGTTTCACAATGGGGGCTGGAGCAATAGCTCAGTGGGTAGGGCATTTGCCTTGCACATGGCTGACCTGGGTTAAATTCCCAGCATCCCATATGGTCCCCCCAAGCACCGCTAGGAGTGGTTCCCGCGTGCATGAGCTAGGAGTAGCCTGTGCATCGCCAGGTGCGACCGAAAAAGAAAAAAAAAGTTTCACAATGGAGACATTACTGGTCTCACTCCAGCAAATCAATGAACAACAGGAGGACAGTGACCGTGCTATATTTGATTTCATTTCTTCCCTGTAGGCACAGATAAATCTAGTATATGGAAAATGCTGTGAAAGCAATATGGAATAAATGGCTCTGTTTTTACCTGGTCTAAGAAAAACCTGCATAGTCAAGAATGTTTTTGAGATAAAGTCATGCAATTTGCTATAATGTGGATGGGTCTGGAGAGTAGCATGTGGAATAAAATCAGCCAGAGGGAGAGGAACTGGCTCAGAATGGTCTCTCTCATATGTGGATTTAAAAAAACCCTCACAGGGGAATATCAACTGTCCAATGGCAATAGAAATAAAGAGCAGGAGAACTGATCTTCAAGAGAAATCTTGGCACTGGGGCAGGAGGGAGGGGATAAGTTAGGGAAGGGAACAGTGAGGGAGGGGAGGGGGAAGGTGCCTGCCACAGAACAGAGGCAAACTGGGGGTGGAAGAGAAACTGGGGACACTAGTGGACGGTAGTGGGAACTGCCAAAGGAATGGGTGTTAGAACATTGTACGCCTGAAACTTAAACATTAATATGCTCAAAACTTTGTAATTCACAATGATTCCGGGTTTTTTCTTTTTTTGGCTTTTTGGGTCACACCTGGCGTTGCTCAGGGGTTCCTCTGGGCTCTGCACTCAGGAATTACTCCTGGTGGTGCTTGGGGGACCATATAGGATGCTGGAAATCCAACTCGGGTCAGCCGTGTGCAAGGCAAACATCCCACTCACTGTGCTATCGCTCTAGCCCCTGATTCAATCTTTTTTTAAAAAAAAAAAAAGGAAAAAGAATAGAAGGAGCTGTTTTTGACACACTATTACCTTGAATGCTTCTCTTGAAAAAGGCCTTGCAGCCCTCACAGGACCAGACTCCATAGTGGTAGCCAGAAGCATAGTCGTTGCAGACGGCACAATAGCGGGTCTCCTTGGCTGACTCCACCATCAGGTTGGCCTTGTCGGCGGTGCTGGCCAGGCGCTCTCTGCCACCCTGGCGGCGATTATCTGCATTGGGCCTGAACGAGGAACAAAATAGAGGAGGAAAGAGACACAGTGAATCCATTAACGTTTAAAAAAAGCAAAACATGTACTTTCCTCTCAAGCACAAGAGGCCTGGGAGATGTCACAGATCCACTTTATTCTGACATTTTGCAATCATGAATCATAATGTAAGCTAATCTCTCATTACCTCTGGCCGGCTGTTACAGCAAAAGGTGTTTGCCTATTATACTAACCTTGAGGGAAAATTGTTTATCGCAAACTTGCCTCAAAAAAAAAAGACTGCCTACAGCAGCATATGTTATTCCGAAAACAACAGAATAAAATCAGCTGGTTTTTAGTACAACAACAGCACACACACACACACACACACACATGCATGCACACGCACACACACGTGTGTGCACACACACGCACATGTGTACACACACACACACACATCGCCCCTGTACCTCAGTGGGAAATTCACAAAGACCACAGGCCTATGAGAGGCCAATGCTCAATTCCAGCTCTAGAGCACTAAGGGTCTTTAGGAAACAGAGACATCACAAGAAACAGCCCGAATATTTGAAACTCCCTGAGCTTGATGATCCTCATGGGGCTTGTGTAGAGAAAAAAAAAATCTAACCATACAAAATGTCTTCTCACTGGTATCAGATAACTGTGTACTCTGCCTACCCACTTTTCTCATATGATTGCAGGTGGAGGATGCTATTCACTATTCAAAACTCTTTAATAACATGTACAATGAGCAAATCACTAGCTGCCTAATAGAAACCTAAACAAAAGACACAGTGGGAGGAACAACCTCAATGAGCCTGAACATGAGAGAGAGAGAGTTTAAGGCAAGCACTGGGGTGCTTACAGGGCAAGGTAAAATGCTTGCTTCGCATGCTGCTGACCTAGGCTCAATCTTTGGTACCTCATGTGGTCCCCTGACTCAGCCAGGAGTGATGCCTGAGTGCAGAGTCAGAAGTGATCCCTGGGTGCAAAGAAAAAAGAAAGGAAAGGGGAAGGAAGGAAGGAAGGAAGGAAGGAAGGAAGGAAGGAAGGAAGGAAGGAAGGAAGGAAGGAAGGGAGGGAGGGAGGGAGGGAGGGTATGGAACTGAAGAAGATCATACTGAGTGGGAAGCAACAGGAAAGGAACATATACGCAACGGCTCATATGTAAAAAACAGAAACATAGTAAAAGAGCAGCACATGGTCAAAAGCAAAAGAACCTAAGAGCTGGTCTGCAGAACTGATTTTTCCAAGGGGGAGAGGGACAAGGGGATTGTGGAGCAGCTGGGAGGGGACCCTGAGACTATGGTGGAGGGTAGTGGACATTCTGGTGAAGGATCTGGTGCTGAAAAGATCTATTATTAATAGAATATTAAACCACAATACTTCAAATTAAAAGGTAATGGGAAAAATGGAAAGAAGGAAGGAAGGAAGGAAGGAAGGAAGGAAGGAAGGAAGGAAGGAAGGAAGGAAGGAAAACACTATGTTTGCACTTCTCACCTAAGCCAGATAGAAATAATAGTGATCCAGAATTTTCTGGGGCATGCCACCTGCTAGAGGTGGTATACAAGAATTGTTGCATGGGGCCAGGCAGTGCCTGGCCTATGACTGGCAGTCAATAGCACATCTAAAAAATGACTAGCACTATAGAGTGTACATAGGAAACAAAAGAAGTAGAGAGATATTAGAAGGATAGAGGGAGCAAAGGTTCTCTGGCGCTTTCCGAAGGGTAAGGGCTGTGGTAGGAAAGTACTTCCGGGATCTCAGGCTTAAATCTTCATATGTCCCCTCCTCCTACCCCCACCCACTGATTTCCACTGCTCCTCCCCTCGCAAGCCCCACTTAGCTCAGATTCTACAACTTTCGCTGCCGCCCTCTTTCATTAATATAAACCACAATTGGCTGCCAGCGGCTGTCTACTAGGTTTGCCATAATATTCATGAAAGGCTGCAATTCAGGTAAACATGTCAAATTTGGCTAAACATTTGTCATTCTAAGGAACTTAGCTTTTAGGTTGACAGCCTAAAATAGGATTCTCTGTTTTGTAGCACCTGTAGAGAACAGTGGCTGGCAGCTTTGCGGTGGAGCTCATGTTCTACTGTCCAACTCATCATCATGTGCCCAGCTCCTGAGCGCCAGCAGCTGCAAGTCTTTTCCCTAGTTGTTGGCTTGTGCATTATTCAGGTCAGTAAAAGCAGCTGTAAAACATGTAACTAAACAACTTAGTGCTTCTAGGGTCCAGGCTAATAGGAAAGCAGGCTGGGTGCTTGCCTTGCACTTGGCCGATCCACAGGACCATCTGGTCCTGGTCCCCCAAGCACCTCCAGAAGTGATCCTGATTGCAGAGCCAGGAATAAGTCCTGAGCACTGCCCCATGTGGCCCCCAAACTAAAACCAAGACAAAAATCTTAGTGCTTCTGGGGGGTCAAGAAAAAGGGGGCAGTAATCAAGTAATTAGCAGATTTAGTATATTACAGCCTGATTAAGCATTTTAGTCCCTGTATATCATTCCATGCCCAACCATCATGCAATATGTTTGTGGAATAAATATATTAATGATTAGTATATACGTGGACAAAAGTTCCAAGGTGCCAAGTGTCCTCCACCCATTCTATCTTAGTAATAAAGTACATTTTAAAAATTGTGGTAAGATATACATAATACAATATATATCCATATTCACCATTTTTAAGCATCCAGTTCATACTGACTGGCAAGTACATTCACATAAGGCGTGGGATTGTCCTCATTTTCTCCAGACTCCATCCCATTTCAACCTACCTTCTCTTTGTCATTTGACTATGTGATACCCTTGTGGTAAGTGGGACCACACAGTACCTGCCTTTGGAAAATGGCATGTTCGATGAGCATAATGTTCTCCAGCTTCATCCAAGCTGTAACATGGACAAAATTGTGCTGAGTGACATTCCTTTGTATATCAATGACATTTCTTTTGTATGTGTACAACTCTGTGTTTCTTGACACATCCTCCCATGGATGCTTGGGTTGCTTACATCCGTAATCATTGTATACAAACAGTATATTATACGGTTGTGTGATAAATATCTCAGAGCAACACTACTTTTTATTTATTTGGTATATATCCTGTTGCCTGTAGGAGTGCCCAGCAAGCTACTGAGAGTATCCCGCCCGCACGGGTAGAGCCTGGCAAGATCCCTGTGGCATATTCAATATGCCAAAAACAGTAACTATCACAGATCACAGATCATCCTGTTATTCGTCGATTGCCTCGAGCAGGCCCCAGTAACGTCTCCTTCATCCTAGCCCTGAGATTATATTCAAGGCTCTTTAGGAGAATGAGACCCATCATTGTTACTGGTATTTGGCATATTGGGTACACCACGGGGAGTTTGCCAGACTCTGCCATGTGGGCAGACTACATTCGGTAGCCTGCCAGTTTGTCAAAGTAGGAATGAGATGTCATAATAAGATTCGTGGCCGTGCGGTAAACAGTAACTATAATGGGTCTTATTCCCCTGATCCTGAAAGAGCCTCCAATCATTGGGAAAGACGAGTAAGGAGAGGCTGCTAAAATCTCAGGGCTGGGATGAATAGAGACGTCACTGGCGTCCGCTTGAGTAAATTGACGAACAACAGGATGATAGTGATACAGTGATACAGTAGTATATATCCTAAAATGGGGTTGCTGGATCATCTGGAAGTCCTTTAGCTTTTTAAAGAAGAAGACTGTTTTCCATAACAGCTGCATTATTTTACATTAGCAATCCAAATATTCCATGTCTCTCTGAATATTTGTCCACATCTACTATCCTTCCTTCCTTTTCTCTTTCTTCTTTCCTTTCTAATTCTTCTCCACTATGGCTATCAGAATCCAAAGGGTATGAAATGGTTATTGCATCTTCAGGTCACCTTTTTAATTAATTTCCCTCTTGCCTAATCCACACACACTCAATGTCTCCCCACTCTGAACTCAATAATGAATTTTTTTTGTACTCCTCTGCTCCTGGCTACTTTACTCCTCCAAAGATCCATCCTGTCTCCACTACTCTCTGCTAACCTTACTATGTTTAATTTGCATTGGATCCAAATGTCCAAGTCTTATCCAGTAAAGCCTCTTAATAAATATTGATATAAATGAGTTCATCAATGTCTGAACCAATGAAGTGATAATTGACAAAAAAACACAAATGGGCTGTACAAATGCTATTTCTTCAAAGATTAGTGAGACCAAAATCCCATTTCTCCCAGACCTAGCAGAGATGTTATGCTGCTGACAATATCCGTCTGGCCTAATGTCCTTTACTTTGAGACAGTCCTGGCATGCCAGAGACGACTGCAGACATAGGTCATAAGACCCAAGAGCATTAAAAAAAGGGGGGGGATATGACAGCCCAAATATACACCTGTAGATGAACCACTTAGCCAACATGCAAACCTCTGTACAACACACAAACCCCATTGTCTGTTATCATTTCAGCCCGACTCTGCTCTATGAAGACTTCAAAACCAGTCAGGAAAAGAATAAAATCCAAGCTGAAGGTAGAGGAGATAGATAGCAATGCCTGTGGCACCTGAAATGTAGTCAGACAGTTTCAAATAGGTGAAGCTCATTGGACACAGTTACCTCAAGACAGAGGTATCCATGTCTCACTGCTCATAAACTCCCTAAGGATCTTCAGTGAAGAGGAACAGGATGAGAAGTACCCATATAAGAACTCAGGTGGAGCCACAAGAATGCTTGGTCAGGTACCAGCCTGGGGTTAGCTCAGTCCCCAAAGATGAGCATCCTCACAACTCCCATGTGCTTCAATTTCTCTAGACCACAAGTTGCCCTTGCCCAGAGCCACCAGTCACTGACCCATCACTGGTACCCTCACACCTCTTTGGTGGGAAGCATTTATACCACACTCGGGAAATCCTTGGCTTCTCACTTTCATAAGACCAAAATTAATCACTCTCACTTTTACATTCTAAATGCCACTAGTTTGCTTACTAAAAAGAGGTCTCAGACATCTTAATCACATCTTTATCCTTC